GTTAGAAGTGAGAGAAGGTAAGGGCCCAGAGTCCAACAGCTTTCATCTCTAAAATTCTGAAAGTGATAGGTTTCACTCTTACCGTTTACACTCTTTCTAGGTGTGTGATTAAATAAAAGTGGAGTTTTGAGGTCAGAGTTCTTAGCAGCAAACCACAGAAACCGTGTAAACTGTTTGAGACAGAAAGGAGTTTGTCAAAAGGTTTTAGTGACTTGTAGGCCCTCTGATTTGGCCAAAGAATTAGAGTTGGCTGTTTCACAGCTAGGGAAGAATGCTTAATTACACCTTAGAGTTATTCTAGTAAAATAATATACTGCTGCCCTCACCTGCTGATGATTCAGCTTAGCAGCATCACCAGAACAGTACTTGTTCTCCCTTAAACTTGGTGTTCATTTTCTAGAAACTGTAAGAAACAAAACGAAGCTAATTGTTTTTTGCTTTTTAAAGTAAGCTCTATGGCCACCATGAGGCTTGAACTCACAACGCCAAGATCAAGAGTTGCATGCTTTACTGACTTAGCCAGCCAGGTGTTCCAGGAAGCAAATTCTTACAGGCCTGCTTGATTCTTTTTAGGTGGATGCTTTTGAGGAGCTGGGCTGAGATCTAGTTAGAAGAGATCTTATAGGAACAAAATCTTAGATAAATAAATGGAAGCATGCTCAAACAATGAAATCATATAAGGCAATTAAAGGGAATAAACTAGAGCCACACCTATTAACATGGCTAAACTTTAAAAATGTAACGTCGAATGAAAAAGCAAACCCCCTAATAACAGCTACAGTGTGATGCCATAAATAAATGTGAAAACAGGCAAAAACAGTTTTTGTATAGTGTGTGGATATATGCATATATAATAAAACTACAGAAGCATCCGTAGGAATGATGAATGACAAATTCGTAACAGTGGTTATTTCCTTTTTTTTAATGTTTATTTTTGAGGGGGGAGGGGCAGAGAAAGAGGGGGACAGAGCATCTGAAGCAGTTTCCAGGCTCTGAGCTGACAGCAGAGAGTCTGATGTGGGGCCGGAATTCACGAACTGTGAGATCATGACCTGAGCTGAAGTCTGACGCTTATGACAGCCACCCAGGTGCCTCAGAAGTGGTTGTTTCCCAACAGGGAGAAAAGGGAGTGGAATCAGGGATGGCTGTATAATTAATTCCGGGTGCATATTGAACATTTTTTGTTTTTGTTTGTTTTTATGAATTATTTTCTTGAGACAAGATTTTAAGCAAGATTTTAAGATGTGCTAGAGCTGGGTAGTTGGGTAGCCTAATATATAGTTGTCTGTTATCTTTATTCCTTGCACTTCTCTTTAAATATTTCATAATTAATAATGTTAATCCTGGACTTTGAGTATTAACATAAATTTTGAAAAGTACTGCCTCCTCTACATAGAGATAAATTCAAAGGAAGTGGTAAAAAGGCAGTTACTGAACTTAGTTGGTTCTTTTCCCAATAGGAGAGTGTTCAGGAAGATACCCAAAAAACTTGGTCATTGAGCTTTCCGGAAGGGGTTCAAGTGATCTCATTGCTAACTCAGGCTGTGCCAGATACGCAGATTGGAGCCAGGTCATACCCCAGTCCTATTATGTTTCTCTCAGGTGACCTTTCAAAGGGTGTCGTGAGTACTTGGTCTGGAGTCAGGTTGGCTTTGTGTGGAGTGCTGGCCACAGAAGTCTATGTTGGTTTAAACCGTCCTATTTACAAACGTGTAGTCAAATAGTCTTGGTATCATCAAAGGGAGGATTTGCTTGATTTGCCAATTCTACCCCATTATCGTGGGAATTTATTTTAGGAATAAAGGAACTGAAATGTTTAGTCAAGTCCTTTATATTAAGCGAAGGAAAATCATATTGGAAGGAGAACAAAGAGATGTGTGAAATGCAAAATCAAAAGGAGTCATCTTAAAAGAAATCAACTGAAAAAGCGTTTGAAGACCTGTGGCATCCCTCCTCGCACAGAGGCCCTCACTAAGGCTTTGAACTGATGCATCAGCATTTGGACTGGAGCTCTTGTGCCCTAGTCGTCTGGGCTGCCTCCAGCACTGGTTTTTCAGTGCAAGGGTTTTTCACCTGGAGTCCACTCCCAAGTGGTCCATGAGTAGAGTTCAGGGAGTCCCATCAACTTGGTTAGGGGAAGATATTACTTGTTAATTTTCAATGACCCCTAACTAAAATTTAGCATTCTTCTGTTATGAAGATAACTGGCGATAAACCACTGTAGTGTTAATAGTGCCTGTAACTTTGTCATCATGTCCGAGAAAGATTGACCTGTGGTTTTCTTTTCTTTAAATGCCCTTGTGAGGTTTTGGTATCAAGGTCATGCTGGCCTTAAAAAGCAGATTGGAGAATTTTATTCTCTGGGAGAATTTGTGTAAGGTTAGTTTTGTTTCTTCTTTAAATATTTAGTAGAATACCTTGGTGAAGCCCTTTGAGGCCTGGAGTTCCTTTGTGGAAAGGTTTTTTAATGTAGATTTAATTTACTTAAAAGGTACAGGGCTCTTCATATATCCTATTTATTCTCATATAAGTTGGAGCAAGTTTTTTTCCTAGGGATATGTCCATTTATCTACATTTTCAAAATAATAAAAGTTGTGAAAGTTGTTCAAACTGCCCTCTTTTTGTTGATGTTGTTGTTGTCGTTTTTAGAGAGAGAAAACAAGAGAAAGAGTAGAGGAGGGGCAGAAGGAGAGGGAGAGAGAGAACCTTAAGCAGGCTCCCTGCCCAGCGCAGAACCCAGTGTGGGCTGTGAGATCATGACCTGAGCTGAAATTAAGAGCAAGATGCTTAACCAGCTGAACTACCCAGGTGCCCCCAAACGGTTCTCTTTTTAATGTCTGTAGAATCTGTAATGCTGTACTCTTTTTCATTCTTGATATTAGGTAAAACTTTTAAAAATGAACAAAACCCAGAGTTCAGAAGGGTTTAGGGAAATGACAGCTATTGATGGGAATTGAAATTAGTACCATCTTTCTGGAAGACTGTTTTGCAGTGTATATCAAACGAAATGTGAGTATATTTTATCCAACAAACCATTTATTTATTTGTTTGTTTATTGTTTGTTTATTTTTGAGAGAGAGAGAGAGTGTGCACATATGAGTATGAGTGGGGGAGAGGCAGAGAGAGAAAGAGAGATTTTCCCGCACAGGCTCCACACTGTCAGCTCAGAGCCCAACACAGGGCTCAATCCTATGAACCATGAGATCATGACTCTAGCCAAAATCAAGAGTCCATCGCTTAACTGGGCTACCCAGGTGCCCCTACGTAACAACCCTTTTAAAAAGGAATTTGCCGGGTTGCCTGGGTGGCTCAGTCGGTTAAGGTGTCCAATTTTCACTCAGGTCATGCCCCCTGTTGGCCTCTGTGTTGACAGCTTGGAGCCTGGGGCCTGCTTCAGATTCTGTGTCTCCCTCTCTGTCTGCCCCTCCCCCACTCATGTTCTGTCTCTCTCTCAAAAATAAATAAACATTAAAAAAATTTTTAATAGGGACGCATGGGTGGCTCAGTCAGTTAAGCGTCCGACTTCAGCTCAGGTCATGATCTTGCAGTTTGTGAGTTCGAGCCCCGCGTCAGGCTCTGTGCTGATGGCTCAGAGCCTGGAGCCTGCTTTGGATTCTATCTCCCCCTCTCTCTGCCCCTCCCCTGCTCACGCTCTGTGTCTCAATAATAAATAAGCACTAAAAAAATTTTTTTAAATAGATTAATTAAAAGGAATTTGCCATAAATAACTTCGCAAATGCAAAAATATTCACCACAGTGTTATCCATAACAGCAAAAAACAAACAAGCCAACAAAAAACACCTGGAAACCAATCAATAGGGGACAGGGTAGTAATTATGTTAATTACATTCACTAGAATCATTTTTGCCAGTTACAAAAGTTAGGATATTGACATGGAAAAGTACCAGAGAGATACTGTTGGTTACAAAAAGCAAATCACAGAAGAGCGTGTAGAGTGTAGCCTCTTCTGTGTTAAATACATACTTCTCTATGTGAATGTATCCAAAGAAAATCATTTGGAAGTATAGTCTCCAAATTTCTTTTTGCTTTTCTGTATTGTTTAAAATGTTTGCACGAAGATGCATCATTTCTACAAAAATAGCAAAACTTTCTGACAAGCTTGGCAGTCACAAGATGAGAGGGTGGTTGGGGAGGGGAGTGTCAAAGCATTTTTCTTGCCCGATGGAGAATAGCCAGGAAGGAAGGAAAGCTTGAAACTATAAGAAAGAGGGGACAGTCAATTGAGTAAATCCCTTAGAAAGACAGGAGGGCCTGGACTCAGACACAGAAGTTAGCCTTAAAGGAGCAGGACAGCATTTCTTCCCAAAAGGGAGGGAAAGATGATTGGAGATACAGAGAAGTTCAGAGCCAAAAAGAAGGGAGATACGGACATTCACAACTCGTGGCTGCCGACTTCTTAGTGAAATCGGAGGTAAGGCCATTTGCCAAGAGTGGGGAATGAGAGTAGAATGAGGTCTTGAGACAAGAGGAGGGGGATGTGGGGTGTGGGCAGCAGAGCAGACTGGGGGCCTGATGAAACTTTTGAAAGGGCCCAGGGGTATGGCTGGGCAGGTTTTCTGTAGCAGAATGCACAATTGGTGCCAGGTTATAGGGCAGCACAGCACGCTTAGCAGAGCTTTGGAGGATGACAGAATTCAGGGTAGTGATGAGGGCAATTTAAATAATTGCTTTGGAATCTAGGACGCTTGGGAGGAACATGAATTAGAAAGAGTGCTAAGGGGGGCGCCTGGGTGGCGCAGTCGGTTAAGCGTCCGACTTCAGCCAGGTCACGATCTCGCGGTCCGTGAGTTCGAGCCCCGCGTCGGGCTCTGGGCTGATGGCTCAGAGCCTGGAGCCTGTTTCCGATTCTGTGTCTCCCTCTCTCTCTGCCCCTCCCCCGTTCATGCTCTCTCTCTGTCCCAAAAATAAATAAAAACGTTGAAAAAAAATTAAAAAAAAAAAAAAAGAAAGAGTGCTAAGGAAGGACTGGATATTGAGTTGGAATATGGAGATCCAAAAAGCCAGAGGACAGGTGTTCCTGGTCATTGTGGGGTTTCAGAGTATGACATGTTCCAGGGGACACAAGGTCAGCTAGGTGGTCATGGAGTATCAGGAATGGTTGTGGAAGTTGGGAAGGTCAGGGTTGTGATGTTGGGAGTTTCGGTGGTCTTCCTCATGGATGGAGCATTTTCTCAGGGTGGTGACAGGAGTTCTGGTTTCAAAGATAGAAAGGGCTGACTCCTCAGAGAAGGCTTAATGAAGAGAGGCGGAAAAGCCGTGGTCTGGAGCCACTGCAGGAGAGCAGGGAGTTTACTGACTTGCCCTCCTAAAGCTCAGGACCCTCGGTGCCAGGAGAAGTCTCAAGGCAGAAGACCTTCAAGGCTGATGGGAGAAGCCAGGTTTGCAGTGCAGGAAGGAGGCTGACAAGAGGAACGGGCCAGAAAAGGAGAAGAAACGCTCTGTAGAAGCCTCTTCGCAAAGGGATCAGGGGCAGGGACAAAGGGGTACAGATGAGTGGGCAAACAGTATGAGAGAGGGGCTTCTAAAGAGAAGTGAGCTGACAGGAGGAAGGTCTGAGCTGCAAAGGGGTGGAGCTTTGACTGCTGGATTCCCAGAGGAAATGCTGAACTGTACGTTTCTTAGCGCAGAGCGGTACCTGCTCACTACAGAGAGAACAGCAACTACAGATAAGCAAAAAGCAAAAACAAGTAAACGAAGCCGTAAGAACTACCCAAATCCCAGGGTCTTGGAGCTTTTCCCATTGACATGTTCTTCCCTCCTGTTCCTACTGCCGTAAATCCAGGTCAAGGCCACGTCATCTCTACCATAAGCTTGTCCTCTGGGTCATAAATCTCTCTCCCTGGCTGAGCCCCTGGGCCTTGCCCCGCCCCCTCCCCCCCCCCCCTTCCCATGTATAAACCAACACAGCCATCTTCCCCAAATAGCACTTTCCATTGTTGCTTCTCTTTGCAGGTCCCATCATATACTACATCCCTCCCTGGTTTTCAAGGGCGCCTCTAACTCGGGACCATCTTATTTCCCCACACTCATTTCCAGATATTTCTCTTTTCTTAGACATGCTTTATTTCCCTCCCAGCTCACTTTCCCACGTCCTCACATCTGGGTCTCTGTCCCCTCACTATGATGCCCGGCCTGTTAAGGATGACCACATCTTTCCACACTATTCCGCTCCCCCCCAACCCCCACCACCATGTGAAGGCCTGGTGCCTTACTCCAGCCCATAATGACTGATATTTGGCCTTCCAGGTACTCATCTGACCACCCCTTTTAGGAACTTATCAGTTGCATTTCAGTAAACACTTAGGTGTGTTGAGTATACTTTCGGTACACCGAGGTGAGAGCACAGGATTTAGAGCCAGGAGGAACCTAGCCCCCTGATATTACTGATGAGGAGCCTAAGATTGAGAGAGGCCAAAAGACATCCCCACAGTCAACCTGCAAGATGTTAATAAAGCGGATCCCAGAACCCTGATTCTCAGCCCTAAATACTACATGTTGAATTGAAATTTGCTCTTAAAATACAGCTTCTCTTTGATACCTGGGCGTGGAGCCCCAGAGACCCAAAGCAATAGTTATCAATTTTTACAATATGTTAGAATTAGCTGGGGAGATTTCTAAAAATCCAGACTTCTAAGCCCAGTAAGGGGAAACTGATTCAGTTGGTGTGGAGTAGGACCTGAGTATCTGCTTAACAAAACAAAACAAAACAAAACCAACCAACCAAACAAATGAAAACAGCTCTCCAGATGATCCTGGTAAAGATGATCCTTGGATCACCCTTCGCAAAACAGTTTGTGTCTTTCTCTTTGGAGCTCCCTAACATTGCCCCTGTAAACATTGTTAAGCTCTCCTGAAGCCTCCCATGTCAGGAGCAGGTTTGAGTTAAGCCACAACCATGTTACCATCCAGAACACACAAGCCACTAGCTCTGTGCTGTAACCTGTGTAACTTCTCAGGCTCAAACTGGCCTGGGGCCCGGCTGCTGCCCTCCCTTAATATGCTTGGCCATTTGGCCCCAGGAGCCAAATTATTTTTCAAAATACTTTTAGGCATACCTTGGCAAAATATTGATCGTAGTGGAATTCTTGTTGGAAACACCCCACTTGCCAAGGTGTTTCTGAGCACCTTCTGAAGTGTGGATGCCCGGCCTCTGCAGCCTGCCAGCTGTCTCTGCCACAGGACACCCAAGTAAACCAAACCCAAACAGGCACCTAGAGCTCGCCAAATCCCAGCACATGCAGCCCAGGGCCAGTATGACAAGGAGGAAAGGCACTTTGTGTAGCGATTAGGACAAGGCTCCGGAATCTGTGTTGGAATAATGAGGCTCTAAAGGCATGACTCACTGCTCTCCACAGTTATCAGTCTAGGAGTTATCAATGCCCTCCTTGTTGCCTGAGCGCACATCAGAGAAATGACTAATAACATGGTAATAGCTCTTCAGAATGCTGCCCGGACCTCTGAAGACAATTCAAATATGCCAGGTATTTCCTAGCCGTAAGGGCAAGCCTTGCATAATTTAAGAAATACACAGCGGTTTCGCATTTTGGTGCTTGATAAGTGGCAGTTACATAACAGCCTGTAACCACGCAGATGAGCAGAGCCAGAGGTGGGGGAGAGGGTGCTTCTAAAAGAGGTGTTAGTGCTGGAGTGAGGGGTGCAATAGCCGACAGACGTGGCGGCAGCTAAACCTTCACGAAGTTTGGGTCCGGGAGATCCACGCATGCCCATTATGGCACACGTTGGCTCGACAGCAGGAAAGACATCTCTCGACATTTACTATCAGGCTAACACCAATGGGAGGTATGAAATTTTTTCTCTCGTGAGCCATATTGCCAGTGTTTTCTCACTCCTTGGTAATGTTTTTAAGCTAAAAGTAGGATTGCCTCAGTCTCTGAAGTAATACAAAGCTGAATTACTCTCTGAAATCATATGTTCTTCAAACTTTTCTGTTAAAAGCTCAACTGACGGGGTTGCCAGAGCATCACCTCGCTGCGGTCATAGAGCCAAGTTGACCTTTCTTGGTGCTTCAGATGCAGTGGTGCCATACTTCAGATTCCAAGTATAGGAGAGCCCTACAAGGGTGCTAAAAAGCGGGTTCCCATGGCTTATTTCTTTCTGGGGATGGGAGATGCTAGTCTATGAGCACCTACCAAGTGATCTCATGTGCTACCAAAATGCTTCTTGGACTGCCCTGTTTGAGTTGTGTCATATTCTTGAAAAAAGGACTGACTGATTTAAATAGATTGCTTGGTGTTTGTCACAACACAAGGCTCAAACATCTAGAGACCAGAAAGCCAGTTTGTTTCTGGAACCATCTTTAGGCCAAGCATCGTTCTCGTCTCCTGGGAGGAGCCAGCATAGCTCATCTGTTGCCCTTACCTTTTGGAGATGATGCTCAAACCTGGGGTCTTTAGATCCACGGATGGGGAGATTGCTAGAAGGGGCCGCTGTGAGCCAAGTCAGGCTGAAAGCCTCCACTCGGCCTCTGCACTTGGTAGCCTGCCATTTGCCTTAGCAGGAAGCTGCCATGGAAGGAGCCCCTGAAATGGATGAGGTCCTGGAAAACCTTGTTGGACTGAAATACACAATCTTGCCTCAGGGTCTTTTAAGATAAATAATTTTTTAATATTTTTAAATGAGAACAGAATTTGAGATGAATATATTCTTTTTTTTATTGCAGCCTGTCCAAGCAGCGTGGGGGATCAGAAAGCTAGCTTGATGGATGGGTGGCAGGCAGTAGCCAGGAGGCCTTAGCTAGCTGTAACTTTTACTTATTCACGTGATACCCCCCACTCAAGACAGGGACCACACTATGCCGTAGAGGAAGGGCGATGAATGTACAGTCTCACTGAGCATCATGTACATGTATGTAAGGCGTTATTTTGAATGCCAATCAGTTTGAAATTTTTCAGAATAAAATTAAAACAAAATTTTTTTTACATTTATTCATTTTTGAGAGACAGAGACAGAGAGCACAAGGGGGGGAGGGGCAGAGAGAGAGGGAGACACAGAATCCGAAGCAGGCTCCAGGCTCTGAGCTGTCAGCACAGAGCCTGACGCGGGGCTCGAACTCACAAACCGTGAGATCATGACACGAGCCGAAGTCCGTCACTCAACCAACTGAGCCACCCAGGCGCCCCTCATAATAAAATTTTTATTGAATTAGCATATTTGAGTGAGCATATTTGAGAAGAAGATGTTGAAACATAGAAACATAACTAACTTAAACACTTAAGGATGACAGAAGGACTGGAAAACAAAATCAGGGAGTTTCCAGAAGGTAAAATGAAAAGATATAGAGAGGGGCGCCTGGGTGGCTCAGTCAGTTAAGTGGCCGACTTCGGCTCAGGTCATGATCTTGCGGTCCGTGAGTTTGAGCCCCGCGTCGGGCTCTGTGCTGACAGCTCAGAGCCTGGAGCCTGTTTCAGATTCTGTGTCTCCCTCTCTCTCTGACCTTCCCCCGTTCATGCTCTCTCTCTCTCTCTCTCTCTCTGTCTCAAAAATAAATAAAACGTTAAAAAAAATTAAAAACAAAAAAAGAAAAGATAGAGAGAGAAAATAGGGGGAAAATAATAAATCAAAACTGTAATGTCTATGTTTAGAGAGAGAGAGCAAGCGCACCCTAGTGGGGGAGGGGCAGAGAGCGAGGAAGATAGAGGATGCAAAGCAGGCTCTGTGCTGACAGCAGAGAGCTCAACACGGGGCTTGAACCTACGGGCATTGAGATCATGACCTGAGACAAAGTCAGATGCCCAAGCGACTGAGCCACTCAGGCACTCCAGTACATAAAAAATTTTAATGGCACATCCAAGAGCTTTAATATTTGACTAATAGGAATCTCAAGGAGAAAGAACACAGAGAGAGAAGGAAATTATCAAAGAAATAATACAAGAGAAGTTTCAGAACTGAAGGTCAAGTCGAGGCGCTCTAGATTAAAATGTGCAGGGAATGAGGGCCACCTGGCTGGCTCTCTCGGTAAACAGAGCATGCGACTCTTGATCTCAGAGTTGTAAGTTTGAGCCCCATATTGGATGTAGAGATGACTTTAAAAAAATAAAAGCTTAAAAAAGTACACCAAATGAAAAAGAAATTACCCATACCTATACATAGTATCATTAGCATTCAAAACTCCAGAAACAGTGAATTATAAAAGCTTTTGGAAGGGGAAAACCTGTCACAAATGAATGAAAATCAGAATGTATCAGAGTTCTTAATGTCAGTACTGGAAGCTAGAAGACAATGAAATAAAAGTCAACAAAAGTTCTAGAATTTTATACTCAGCTGAACTTTCAATCAAATGTGAAGATATAGCAAAGACATTTTTAAATCTGCAAGGACTCAAAATTTTGCTTCCTGGGGATCCTTTTCTGTGAGACAACCAAAATAAATACTTAAGCAAAATGAAGAAATAAATAAAAAAGGAGAGAGAAACAGAATCCAGAAGGCAGGGAACCAACACAGGAAAACAAGGCAGAGAAGACTGACGTGTATACAATGGGCTTAGCTGTTTTGGAATTCACAGATTATCTGACATACTTGGCCATTTGGAAAATAATACTTATTGATAATTCAGGCAGGGTATTTGGAAAAATTTGAATGAAAGTGAATAGAAAATTAAACAAATGAAATTAAAAAGGAAGTGTTGACTCCAAGGAAGAAAATGGTACTTAGGAAAAAAAAAAAATCAGAGTAAACTCCTTGGCTTTTCAATGAAAAGTTATTTATCATAGTAGTGTAAGGCAAGGGGGAATGTGGTAGATTATGTAAAGAGCTAAAACCTAAACTGTTAAAACAAAATTAATAGTTGAAGGCTAAATAGAGAAACCAAGAAATGGCAATATTAACATAATTTGGTCTTTTAAAAAAACTAAAAACATTGAAAGTGTTTGCCTCAGGATTGTGTTTTTTTATTTCAGTATTTTTGAGCAATTTGCTTTAAACCATGTGATTTTATCTGCTCTCATAAAGATGAAAATTATTTGTAAGAAAAAGCTCCAAAGTCTGGCCATCGGTGGGAAGTTCCAGCCTGCATCGTTCAATAAGCTTTAGCCACCACAGGCATCACACACATGGTGGGTGATGGCACACAAAGTCCCAGTTGGATTTTGACTCTGTCTCTAGAGTCCTTGTCACAGGATATCCTTCCTGTCCACTGGCAGGTTATGGGCTGTCTCCTGCCAGAGTCATACCAAGTTTCAGGTGAGGTTATGAGACTGAACAGGGGTGTGTGCCTCTTAACAGGAAGGTGGGGAGGTGGGGAGGGAGGGATGGAGGTAGGGAGGGTGGGAGGGAGGAAGGAAGGGAGGAAGGAAAGGAGGGAGGGGAAAATCCCCTTCAGAGATGAATTTAGAAACCAATTTGCCACTTTGCTATTGAGACAGCTTCAGGGAAATTCTATCCAAAATACATCCAGCTGGATGTGGCATCTCCTGATGATTCCACTTTTTGACTGCGTGAAGCTTGTCTGCGTGTCTCAAGGCCAGCCCTAGGGAGTAAAGCTAACCGGTGGGCACACCAGGCCATCCCATGCCACCACTGCCCAGGTTGGAGTTGGGGTGTGGTACTGAGGATTCCAGGCTGGCCTAACCTAGTGATGGCCAACCCAAGCACGCTAGAGAACAAACACAGGCTGGACCAGATTTCCTTCCCAGGGGTCCCAGTATCAACAGTATCACTTCTCTTCAGTATTACCACTGCTCACTGGAGATGCCTTATCATAAGTCTGGGATCTGTCCAGTCCAGATTAATCCATGTCTGGGATCACTGAGTCTCCTTAGAATTAGACTACCCTAGAGCTTCTGGATGGCTCAGCGGGTTAAGCATCTGACTCTGGATTTTAGCTTAGGTCATGATCTCACGGTTCGTGAGATCAAGCCCTACATTGGGCCCTGCACTGACAGCGCAGGGCCTGCTTGGGAGTCTCTCTTTCCCCCTTTCTCTCCACACCTCCCCCTGCTCATTCTCTCTCTCTCTCTCTCTCTCTCTCTCTCTCTCTCTCTCTCTCTTTGTCAATAAATAAGCATTTAAAATAAATGAATAAAATTTTTTTTTTAAGAAAATCATTAAAAAAAAATTGGACTACCCAGACCATGGTAATATTTAAGCAGCCATTCAGTTCTCTATACCCTACTCCTGATGACCAGCACCGTCTAAAAAAAGTGACTGCACAGGAAAGAGCCTTTCTACTCCTACACACAGGTGTGCAGGGCCCCAGGCCAGCCACAAGCTGGGACACAGCTGTTTGTGTACATGGGTCTGCTGTAAAGCTTAAACTGTCCTCCGCTGTAGGCTTGGAGTGCATTTCACCATTTTCCAGTGAAAACGACTGTACCAAGGGACCCCTTGCATTTTCAGTTAGTCGGGATTAACCTGTTTATGGAAGTGTTTTCCTTTGGAAAAAACATCTTTTTTTAGGTAGTGAGCCATTTTTTACAAATCTTGTTGGTTGGGGTGCCCCGGTGGCTCAGTCGGTTAAGCATGCAACTCTTTTTTTAAAAAATTTTTGTTAACATTTATTTATTTTTGAGAGACAGAGAGAGACAGAGCATGAGCGGGGGAGGGGCAGAGAGAGGAGACACAGAATGTGAGGCAGGCTCCAGGCTCTGAGCTGTCAGCACAGAGCCCGATGAGGGGCTCGAACCCACAAACCATGAGATCATGACCTGAGCTGAAGTCAGATGTTTAACCAACTAAGTCACCTAGGCACCCCTTAAGCATCCAACTCTTGATTTCAGCTCAGATCATGATCCCAGGGTTGTGGGATCGAGCCCTGAGTCAGGCTCTGTGCTGAGGGTGGAGCC